GCCTGGTGGCAGCCCCCACTGCACCCCGGGGACCCCTGAGCCACACTGGAATGGGCAGCTCAGCCCTGCCCGTGCTCAGCCCCTCGGGATGAGCGGTGTTTGGCCCCCCAGGAAACTCAGCTGTGGGGCAGCAAGGACGTGTCCGAGTCCAGTGGCAGGAGCCACTGCCTGCTCCGTGTGTGCCACCCCTGCTGGGCTCCTCTCCAGCCCGGTGGCCATGGGACTAGTGGAGCTTCCACAGCCAAGGAGTGTGACCGTGCTCGTGGCTGCTCTCCTGCATCCTCTCCAGCCCAGGCTGAACTGAGACCCAAAGGTCCCAGGGAACCCGGTGGTGTGGGGTGATGGGTGCAGGTGAGCTCCTGCGGGTCCTGGAGAGGACACGGTGCCCGCTGGGTGCCAGCAGAACGGTCCATCCTCCATAAACTGCCGTGCTGAGACAACAACGCTGCCTGGGTCAGGAGGGGGACACCCTGCGCCAGCTCCCCCGGGCACAGGGTCCCTCTGCCTGGCACCGAGCCCGCAACCCTCCTGGGGATGGTGTCGGGGGGGAGCATCCATGGGGTCCAGTGTCCCCAGCCTGAGCAGATGGTAAGACCCCAGCTCTCCCCGATTCCCCCGTAAGGTCCTTAGTGTAACCCCCCCCCCAGACAGACCAGCCTCTCCCCTCTAATCCCCCAGACCCCGAGCAGGATGGCACCCAGGGGGGCTGCCCTGCGGGGCTGGGGCTCAGCTGCTCCCCCCAGGGAGATTTTGGGGTGCCCCAGGCAGGGCATGGAGACCCCCCCTGCCCACCCCATTGTCTGTGCCCAGCACCAGGCTGGGAGCTCAGCCTTTGTCCTGTCGCTTGTGGGGCTGAGCCACAAACCCTCAGGATGTGGGGCTGACCCACACTGGCACCGTCAGAGCCCCTCGGTCCCCGGTAAGGGCAGACCCCAAAGTTGGGGGGGGACACACAGACGCTGCCTTACACCGGGCAGGATGGTGCTCCCGGTGACAGGGTTAAAAACCCCGGGTGACACCTGGAAGGTGCTCGCTCCATTAATTCTGGCATGTGAGGAGAGCAGCACCGGGAAGAGATTAGATATTAACCCAGCCAGTGCCTCCCACCCGACGGGCACCCACCCCGGGGGGGGGCTTCCAGGGCCGGATCCCACCCTGGGGCCCTTTGTCAGGGCTGGAGGGGGCTGGAAGGGGTGGGGGGGCTTCTACCCACACGGGCAGGGTTTGGCAGGAATCCCGGCCACGCTTGTGGGAAGCCGGGACCACAA